TTTAAGGTGAGGTTTTAAATGTTACACATCATACGCGACTACTGTAAGGCTCGCTCTTTTTTTTACTATTATATTGTTTTATGAGCCCGATGGCGAAGGTGGATTGCGCTTTCAGCCTGCTATCGTGTAAGTTAAGCAACTTTTGCAATGGTCGGTCATTGGATGGGTGACCATAACTTATTATCTTGAGATCTTCCGTGCTTCAGAAAATACGTTAAACCGTTGGTCCCGGCTGCATCTGCAGTCATTAGCATCCACCAATCCGTACTTGGCCCGCGTGGTGGGTCATGTCTAGTGTTGTCCCGATGTCCCGATTTTCGCGATTTGCGCGGGACGTCCCGATTTTCAGGGGTGTTTTCAGGGGACGTGTCCAAATTAATTATTCAAAAAAAGGAAATTTATGTAATTAATATAATACTATACTTGCACTAGTATTTTAAAACGCAATAAATTGAACCCAGACTTAAAAACCCCTTGTTTTTTGTTTACTGTCCCGATCTGCAACCCTAAATCCCGATTATTTTGACCTCATGTACCGATTCAAGACAAATCGGACCTGGCAACACTAGTCATAGCCCAATCACCCTATTACATCCATAGAGAAGGCCTGTGCTGCAGCAGTAAGGACATTCATAAGCTGGTGATGATGATGATTAGTTTTTGTATCTTCCTAGGGAAGGGGGGAGGGGGCTGTGAAATACTTATGGATACCCAACAGTCGGCTGCAGGGTTTGGTCATAAGGACTTTACAGGCTTCGCTGATACAAAAACTTCATTTTCTCAGTATTACCAATGGTGCCAGGAATAAAAATGGCACAGGGATAAAGTAGACTATTGTATGTAGGTATTCATTGATATAGGTATCTTTTATGTCTGCTACTTTTAGATAAGCGGGGCAAAATGTACCCAATGTCTTTTGCTTTTTCTAAAAGAAATAATAAATATGAGTAGAGATTAAAAATAAGGTATAGGTATCCATGACCTACAAGTACAAAATGTAAATTTAATGGAAGCTCATCAAATTGTCGCTAATAACATTATTATATGATAATTATGAGCTCTTTTGAATTTTAGAAATTTTGTAGAAGGCATTCGAATAGGGTAATAAATTCTTAGAATTAAGTATTAAAATAGATAATTTATATTCATTCATATTACCGACGACGCCAAATGCACGAAATTCTTTGTGTGAATCGCGATTAGAATAAGTCCATTGTCATTGATAAAATTAATAATAAATTGTAAAACAAACTTATTGGTCTTCAGTTTAAAGAAGTTTGTTCTCATGATAAGTGTGTTCAAATTTCACGCGGTACAGTAATAAATGAAAAGAAATTCTCAACAAATAATTAATTCAAATAGCTGAGCGTTAAACAGTAAGAATGGGTACAAATCCGCTTGTTTATGAATAATAGATCCACATGTGACGTGAGTACGTGAATATTGGTATAATTTTTCACGAATGAAACTTAAATAAGGAAGTCTAGTGAAACTCTTTTGAACTTATGTGTCAAGAGAATCCTGGACCTGTATTATGTCTAAGGCCCGTATTATAGAAAAATTCTCAGTGATTGATCTAGTCTTGAGCATGGTTAGAAAGGGATGTCGCTATATATAGCACATAGCGACATCCCTTTCTAACTGTACTCAAGTAAAGATCAACACTTAGTTGTCATTCTGTAATACGGGCCTAAGAATAGTCGTAGTACCGAGACCTAAAAAGCACGATCAAAGATAAGAGGAAACTCTTCATGGTATTGTAGATAGATGCAGCGGCGACAACATAATAGTCAAAAATCCTCCAAAGAATGAACCCCGTGTCACGGTGTGCGTAATTGAACTACTCCGAAACGGCTCGACCGATTTTCGTGAAATTTTATATGCATATTCAGTAGGTCCGAGAATCGGACAACATATATTTTTCATACCCGTAAATGTTAAGGGTTGTCCACCCTTAATTTTTTTTTGTACATTTTTTTTTATTTTTATTTTTTTTATGATACACCATACAAAAATACATACAACCCTAAATTTTCACCCTCTTACCACCAACCCCTATTTTTTATGGCGGTAAGAAATATATATGAATGAAGTGTAACATAATCATATGTATAATTAGGACCGAACCTGTTTGTTTGTAATTAAATCAGATTGTATGAAGCCCAGCGTCTCGGTTGCTATGTTAGCTCACACGGGCAAACCTTAAATCTCATAGACATGCTGGAAAGTAAGATAGGCAAGTTTAAGGCGTAGGTAATAAGGTCGAATGTAGCTTGCGCGCCACTTATCTTCTGGTCTGCAACAACGATTTGTAATAAATAACGAGATTGTTGCTTGTTAACCCAAACATATGTATGGAGGCTATTAATCTTATTAAGTTGGAATAAACTTGTGTGTCGGACCGTGCCTTGTTTGGTTTCGCCGGTATGCCTGTGTCGTCAGCTGCGACAACCGCCGCCCTGGACAAGCGGCTTTTCTACTAATCGTATCAAATTTGGTATCAAGTATCGACATAACTGTTTTTAAGAGTTTATCCCATTCGCAAAGGGTACGATTCTGAGTGCACGCAAACAGTTTCCAGTTTTATTTATATTCTTTGATTTGTGTTCGTATTTGGGCGTAACGCATTATAAATAATATATAATGTATGAAAATTATTGTGGGTTACCTACAGTGCGGAGAGATGACGCTGCCTTGCAGCTTAAGAAAGGCTAGAGAGAATTCGACATGGCCATCAGGGCCGCGGTAACATAATAGTCAGTGCATTCGCCCGGATAGCGAAGGGTGCGGGTTCGAGTCCCGTCTGCTGTCTGGTCCGCGTGGATTTTTTTATAGTTATATTTTCTTTAGATTTAAACATCGAGCAGTTACATGCTTAAATAAAATAAAAATTATAAATATTTGTCATAGTTCTGTTATTTTTGTGCCACCCGCAAACAAGCATATTGCCCTCCTGGTGGTAAGCGGCCACTATAGCCTAGAGAAAATCGTGATACCAAAAATATCACTCTATCACTCGCCTTCTCTGACGCGATTCTCTACCCCGTGTGGAGCCCTGCAACCTTACCTACAGAAACACAACACCTCCAAAATACAGTGGTATTATGTAGTTACAAAATGTGACGACCTCCGTGGCCGAGTGGTTTGTACGCTGGGTTTCATTATGTCGCCGACTCGTGAGTTCCCGGGTTCGAATCCCGGTGGTGCCACATGCTCACATATGTGCGAGATGAAAACGAGCATTTGTCCTCCAGTCATATCCATGGCTGTAGGTTTAATATGTATTTCTATATAAATGTACTTATATATATACTGTATATTGATATATTCTATCCGTTACCCTAGTATCCCATAACGCTTACAGTGCTTACTTTGGGGCAGGCTAATTGGTGTGAGTGTTGGAAATATTTATTAATTTTACTGTGGTATTCTAAAGGTAGGTTACCTCCAGTAACTTATCCAGACGGCGGCTCCATTTTGAACGGGAAATTCACTTTGACCTACCAAGACCTACAGTTGCATAGACACTTGATGAAATAAAACTACACTATTATTTTGAAGTGATATTAAAAACACCCGAATGTCTCTATTTTCGTCATACAGAAAGCTGATTTTTTTAAATACTAATCAAAGTTATAACACTGAACAACTTGAAGTGCAACGCTGATTCCACTTACAATAACTTGAAAAAAATAATGAAGACAGTTCGAGTGGCTTAAGTGAGCATAGTTTATTTTTTGAACAACGTAAAAGTTTTAAGTTTTAAAGTATCATAAAATATTTCTTCGTTTATGCCTGTTCTTTCCATCTTATTATTAAAAACATTTCATCGGCAGCGAAAACAGCCCTCAATCAACTATCTCAATACATATTTATCTTTTGTTGGCACAGGATCTACATAGACTATAAATTTTTCATAGCTCAACAAACTCACTTTCTTCTCGGTAATAGTAATGTCCATATAGAATATGAGATGTGAATTCAATTTTTTTTTTTAGTGTGTGTGCTGTTGTTCGCAAATGATCTTTACAGCTTTCACCGTGTTTGGGGACGGCGAGATCCTAAGGGGACCTCCAGCCGAGAATTGGCGAGTGCCTTTAGAGGTATTCCAGGTGGATAGCATCTCCCCACGGGGGGAGTCTCCTCTCCATCTGGAGCCCCTAGACCAATAGAACCTGAGGGGGTTTTACGACATGCATTGCACTGTAAGTATTGTCAGCCAGACTGGACAAGGACGCTGCCACCCTCACCCTCTCTCTCCTTCATCTCATTTTAAATAAGGAAAAGACATCAGTTGTGTTACATTAATTCTTTCTTTTCTTTGATCGACATTTATTAGCCAGGATTACTTTGCGTAACTGCTCTTGTCAGCTATTGCAGTTCTTCGTTTGCTTCACAAACATAGGTTTAGCATACACCCCGGCAAACTGATTGAACAACGACTATAGACAAGTAAGCCTGCGCAGTAGCAATTTTCCATACAAAAACGTCTCCTGCGCAAGTTTATTTGTCTGTTGATTTGCTAAAGAAATTTGCCGCTACCTATACGTTCCAAACTTTACGGTGGTTATGAAGCGAACGCAACTATGTGAAGGTAACAGTTCAGGGGCATCACGCGCTTGCCATCATCACCGTACATTTCGTTAACTGTGGCATGACTTGTCCAATAAGTTTGAATAATAATAAATAATAAATATTTCCGACACTCACACCAATTAGCCTAGCCCCAAAGTAAGCACTATAAGGCTTGTGTTATGGGATGCTAGGGTAACGGATAGAATACATATACTGTACATATATAAGTATATTTATATAAATACATATTAAACATCCATGACTGGAGTACAAATGCTCGTATTCATCACACAAACATCTGCCCCCACCGGGATTCGAACCCGGGACCTCTCGAGTCGGCGACAGCCATGAAACCCGGCGTACAAACCACTCGGCCACGGAGGTCGTCTAATAATAAAATAGGGGTATATATAGGGTATACTGACCTCAAATTGAGCACTGAACGTCTTGAAGACCCCCTCCCACAAGCTGCCCGACTGCGTGAGCACCTGCACGTTGTCCCCCACATGCGCTGTCACGGCGTGCATGAAGTGCGCGTTGCTGTACACGCCTTCAGGGAGCACGCGGCCCCGTGGCGACCTGCAACATACACTACGATCAAATACTCGCACTTTTATAGATATCTAGAATAAGACCGGCTCGATGGCCACCATAAGGTTATACAGTCGTCGACTCTAGCCATAGAGCAGGGAGGGAAGAAGGCATCCACAGCTTTGCCCTCTGTCGAATTGAGCAACAAAAGATATGTGTACAGGATTTGGCAGTGTATTGTGTACATTACAGTTTTACATTATCCTGAGGTTCAGGTTCGTCAGTTCCATTAAATGCTCATGCGGCCGTCGGTCGGTCAATTCCACCTGTCATGAATGATACAAACGGATAACCAGCAGCCTATTAATGTCCCCACTGCCTTCCCTATTGTTTTTTAATTTGGATCAAGGAACAATTTAAGTAAATGATTTCTTAAAAATAATAACAATAATATGGTTTAGGTATTTGTGAATTCAACACCGTTACCACAGATAGTTAAATAAATAGCTATTTAACACCTTGATGGAATAGAGAGATTACTATGACCCACTACGGAAGCCCAGTGCGGATCTTTGGTGGGTGCTAACCACTGCAGATGCAGCCGAGATCAACAGCTTAAAGTTCTTTCCGAAGCACGGAGGAGCTCGAAATAAAAAGTTTTGGTCACCCATCCAATGATCGACCATTACGAATTCCACGATCACAGGACGAACGCGCTTTCCACCTGCGCCATCGAGCTTCTCAAACGGATGGCGATCAAAAAATCATCAGTAACCCCAGGACATCAGAGGATAGGTGATCCAGCGGTGATGGCATTCAATGCCAGCAAACTGACAGCAAATCTACTGTCTAATGGACACATAAGACCACTGCGCCCGTGTGCAACGCATACCCTGCACCATAGGTCAAGCTGCCTCTAGTTCTATAGAAGCTTGCGTAACTAAGGGATGTGCCTACCCTATGGAGATCTGTCAACTTAAATTTACCACAATGCTAAAATAGGGTTTAATTTTTACCCTTTGGATATGGAACCTTAAAAAGGTGGGACACCGCAGATTCCTTATGCTTGATTGGCCAAACAACTAAATATATTTTTGTATTGAACTAAATTGAAACTTTATAACACTTCATATAGGAAACAAATTGATTGAAAAAATTAGACACATAGTATTAACTTGATGCATTGCTGTCTGAGCCTAAGTGAGTAATTTTCTGGTAGGCATGCTATGAGTGGCTGATGCTGCTTAACAACTGGAACACACTCACAATCAAAGGCCCAAGCACGAATTTTGATAGCTTTAGTATTGCACCGTCAGTTTCTATGAAGCTAAGCAGCACCCCTACTGGACGTAAGAAAAAAGAGGCAAGATTCATACAAAATTTCATGATGACAATACAAATAGGGTTGCCACCCGTACTTTATTATAAAGTATTGTACGTTATTTCGGGTAATTGTACTCTATACTTTATGTCAACAATAAAGTACGCAAAAATACTTTATTTAATGTGGTCTGATACGGACAGACAGTATGTATAATGTCGCCCTTAGCTCATTCTTGCAACATTGCCGTGGCTGTATGGCTTTGTACCATGACCCATGACAATTTTTTTGCAGCTACAAATTATTTATTAATAGTTGCTAGAAGCAATGTAAAATATATTTTTAAGCTTACTAATAAAGTGGAATAAAAAGTACTTTATTTTGGACACAATGTACTTTTTTTTTCTTTTAATATCCAATGTACTTTATTTGGATATAAAAAAGGTGGCAACCCTAAATACAAATTCAGATCTGATAAAGTTCATACTTGGGTCTCTAGGAGAGAACAAAAAAGCAGAATATAAATGCACCTGTATACTTTATTTCGCAGAAAGTCTGTTGATGCCAGAGGCTGCTGGGATGGCTGACAAGCTTTTTTGGACAATGACTGAGACTTACTTATTGTGGTGTAACTATGGAAGTGATATTAACAATATCTTCTTTGAAGTATTTATATACTTACGAAGGTATTTGAATTACAAATGTAATAATGGAAATACTTTGAAAAAATCAATCAATTGTTGATGATTAGCCAAATACATTATCCAATTTAAGCTATTTGAAACTTGTACATATGATACATACATATAGTATGTCTATTATGGATATTAATCAAAAGAAACCATATAGCAAAACAAAAAAAATCAGAATATTTACTAACAAGTTTAACTTAAGTCTTTAAACTAATGAGCATTAGCACCCATCTTCATAAAACAAGGATGATATTAACACATTATATTGATAAGAATGCTATCAAACAACAGTAAATATAGATAATATAAATGTAAGTGGCACCAACTTAATATTTTTATGGTCAAAATCCAAAGGCTTTGTTAGAGACATTAAAAAATCCAAACAATTATTTAAGAAATAGCAATTATAGTTATGTTTTTATTTTTTTAAGCATTTAACTGCTAGATGTTTAAATCTAAAGAAAAGTTTTACTAGAAAAATATTAATAGATTGTGGGTTACCTACAATGCGAAGAGATGGCGCTGCTTTGCAGCTTAAGGCTAGGAAAATTTCGACGCGGCCATCAGGGCCGTGGTAGCATAATTGGTCAGTGCATTCGCCAGGATTGCGAAGGGTGCGGGTTCGAGTCCCGTCAGCTGCCTGGTCCTCGTGGATTTTTTTCTAGTAAAACTTTTCTTTAGAATTATTTAAGTGTTTAGCATCATGTTAGTAGATACAATTTCAGCATAAATATTGCTGCAAAAACAGAAACAATACTGCTGAACCTGGATTTTTACGTTATCGGAATCAACACCCATATGATCAGCATATCAATCTCTTGGCCTTGGCAATACCCAGTTTTATTATTATTCTTAATTTTAGCTTGTATTCAAAAGTAACAATTATTGGAAAAGTATGATGATTAATAAGGTTCACTACATATTACTTACAATTATAACATAATTGTAAATTACGTACTTTCCATCTTTTTAGATAAAGATGATGTGTTATATAAAAGTACTTTTAATCAAAAATTCTATAAGGATATCATCTATCAAATAACTAATACGATAGTACCACAGCACAGGATAGCTCTCATGTTTTATTTAATAAGTAGTCTTAAATAAATGTATTTTTTATTTTACTTGTCATTTCTTACACACCTAACAGGTCACAATTATGTAGTTATTTATATTATTATCAAAAGCATGATACCGAAAAAGGCTTGTTGAAGCGATAACAGGTCAAATTTAAAGTTCTGAGTAGCATTATTAGTGATAAGAATCCAGAAGATACTCCATCTATATCGCTCAAGTCAGTTAAAAAAATTTACTTTAAAAAACATAATATGCAATCATCAATAATATTAACTTTCACTCACAGATAATACGAATAATTGGGTTAATAGGTATTTAAATACTATCAACTGATAAAAGTACAGTCAAAACCAAATATAACAACGGGTCGATTACTATAACCAATTGGGAAGGTCTTGGCCAAATCCCTATACAAAACTTTAAGTAAACAAACCACCTATAATAATGTCGGATATAGCGAAATATCACATAAAATGACTTATAACTGATGTATATCCATATCTATACATATAAATAAAATTAGAGTGTCTGTTTGTAATATTGAAATAATAGCTTTTTACTACATGCATACGAATATATATACAGTACATACACCAAAATAATATTTTTTACAATTTTTGTCTGTCTGTCTGTTTGTTCCAGCTAATCTCTGAAATGGCTGGACCGATTTTGAAGGGACTTTTATTGGCAGGTAGATGATGTAATAATGATGATGATGATGAATTCACAGGCGGCCACTACAAGTTCATATCTTTATTCATCAGCTATAACAACCACCTACCTTAACTACAACTAACTTAAAAACAAAACATGCTCCAGATACTTTAAATTTTTTCATAATTATCTTTTGTACATCTTTGTGTGAAATTATATTTGTAAACAATTTTATGTGTGACCTTATACCCATACTATATACATACATATGAAAATAAATATACTACTTGTGTATATTGCTTATAAAAACTATCAGACATAACATCCAAAGTAATATGGGCCCTTCAATGTTGTTATATCCAGTTTCAATTGTATGTCTAAATAGCAGGGTGGCTGTCACTGTTGTTGCCAAACAACATTATTATACTCATACAAGCAAGCGCTATGGAAATCTGATGGTAGGAGGGACAAGACCTTCACGGGTTTCAAAGAGAGGACCATGGCAGAAGCAATATTCTTACTGACAATATTTCAATTTTGGTGAAATTATCCTGACCTACTAGTAATAAGTCAAAAAGCCTCCATGTTCAACTATAGGTACCATCTTATATAGTTATTTCTAACTAATTAAATGTATGTATATAATTATATATGTATGTTTATTAATTTATATATATATGGATTTGTATTTATATATTTAGGGATATTTTATTTATATATAATATATATTTATCGTTTATAGTATAGTATAGTTCTGTAGGATAATATTATTATTTTTTTCTCTGACTTTAGTAGCTCGCACTCTATCGCCAAAACATCTGTCTCATGTACCCATACTGGTTGACTGGTAGAGAATGCCTATGGTATTAAGTCCGTCATTTACTGTTTTTGGCAATAAAGAATAAATAAATATAGGTGTGATGCCACTAGTTTTAGTTTGACACCTAGAGTGGAGTAATGTCGCTAAGATAGTTGTCAAGAGATATGCTCCGCTTGCTAATTGAGAGGCTGCTTCTCTGACTTATTCTTTTTGGGGTCCCCTTCAAAATTTAATAGAAATATCAATGTCATTATAGCAATTCTTAAGGAATTGTTAAAGGAAAAAGTATCCAAAAAATTAATCAACTGATCCCAATAGTAAGTGATTCAATTCGAGCAAAATCTGCTATGCCCTAGCTATCTAATATTGCAGGTAATTTATGAAAAAAAACAGGCATAATTTTTACATTTTCAAACACATTAGGCATTTGATAATATTTTAAAAATGTGAATAAATTATTTACACTAGTACCTAGTACACCAGTACCTCACGCATAAATTTTGAAAGATCTATAATCATCATAATCGTAGCATAGCGCCATCCTCAAATTTTCTATGGATAGAGCCAGTTGTGCTTTCATCCAGTAGGAGTTTGAAACTTAGGCAATTGCAATACAATTACAGATCTGACAAAATTTGTGCTTGGGGTACTGAGCATTATCACCTTATGTGGATAAGACCAAGGAGCACATACATACATTCAAATTGGTTAAGACAAAATACAATGGCCAAATAAACAAATGTTGGTTAAAAGAACTAATTCATATACACATCTATTTATCATATCCAAATAATTTGGTACAAGCAAGCAAGTTGAAAGGGTAAATAATATGCTGCAGTCAAGTTCCGCTGTTTTTAAATAAATGAAAGTACTCTGTTATCCCTTTCTACATTGCCACAGTATGTCTTTTTTTATTAAGCCTAAAGGCATTATCAGTTTAGTACAACTTATTACAATTAAAATTAACAAAAGTAAGTTCTCTAATTAGGAGACTTGGCACATTGCCAAGTATTTATCTATATATCCCCAGAATTAGTAGAGTGAAAGCCATCGATGAAGTGAAATGCTTCCCATGGTATAACATCTCTATGAAAGTGAAATTAAAATGGTCAAGTCTTTTCAAGGCAATAGGTAACAGTTTACTGATAAAATAACTTACCTTGCTCTCTTGACTTGATTTTATAACTAGAATTAAGCTAAATATGGATGAATAACTTTTGCAGTTAATAATTAGGCACTGGGATCAGCTGATCGTACGCGGCTATATTAATCGGAGTACTGATCAAAAAGTAGGCCAAACATTTAGTCTAGGGCCGTCGCACCGCGCCGTCCGCGGCGTGACAATCGTGCCTACAAACATGCTCAATGAATTCGCAAACCATTCCACGCTCTTGTTTACACCGATTTTAACGTTCCCACGCCACCATTACCCATCTAAGCTATCAATCTGACAGCAGAACCAAAATTTCGCGTGTTAGACAACAAAGACATGTCATCCTAGCACAGAAAGTTAGCTTATAAAACTACAATTTACCTCGGCGGCCCTTGGCGATTTTTACGTTTGTTGTTCATATCTCCTTCGCCCGACTGCCCCGGCGGGTAGGCACCTTCTCGTCTGCGCGTAGGGACCGGAATTTTGGCAAATTATCACTTCTTTCTTTTACAACACAGTCCTTTCAACTTTCGCGGATGCACAAAACTGCAGTTGAAATTAGGAGTTAACACTCGAAATGCGAGAACAGGGATGCATCGATTTCACAAAAGTTTTTTTGACATTTGCCAACAAATATAAATTAAAATATATTTGAGTACAAAATCGCAGTTCGATTTACTCTCGGGAACTAATCCCGAAAAATAAACGGGTTGGCAGATTTCTCGTGCCTGCAATCAGCGCAGGAATACAACATGGCGTTATGACGTATTCGTCAAACGAGTTGCAAAAATGTGAAAATACACTTATTTGTAAAAAACTCACTACAAAGAAACCGATAAATAGTTAATATATTTTCGGGGATACTTTAAAAAAAAATACCGTAGCGCATTAATTATAAATATTGAATAAGGTCAACGTTTGACCAACTTCCCACCGTAGAACTTTCAATATGGCGGATGGTATTTGACTGCCAGTGTTGCTGCTAAGAAATATAGATATTACGTTAGAAAAAAGTTTGTGGTAAGATAATTTTACTATTTTTTAATAATATAAACATCCATAAAATTCATAATATTTTATAATAACATTCAATACATTCACAGAAATTAATCTTAATTTAAATTATACATTACTTTAAAATTATACCATGAACAGCGAATGGATGATTGATTTGCTATGTCATAGACTTCCGGCAAGTTTGCAACATAGCAAAGAAAGTAGGCGTAAAAGCGCGCGCGCGAATTTTCATTCCATCGATAGGCAGTCGCGTTGGTAAGTTTATTATTGATCGCCCTGGGCGAGTAGGTCACGCGAAAATTTATAAAAATGAGCCTCAAAAATGGAGCAAAAATGTCTCAGCGTGAAAAATTCGATTTAATCAACTCTGAAGTGCGTTCATTTTATGAATATTGTAAGGAGGCGGGTATATCTGATGAAGAGATGGACATCATTTGCCGTCCTCTTACGAACGCTGTCAGAAAAGCTTCTATTAAAAGATGGACAAGGGTTTTTATGTTCCTGATAATGGTCTTGGCTATCGGATACACTGTGAGCCAGACGGACACGTTTCAGTGGCACGCTTCCGCAGCTGCGAGGATTGTGTTGATAAAATTACTTCCTATTTGGGATTGGACCCCGTTGTATTATAACAAGTGTCTCATTGAGAGGTCACAGCCTCAGAACCTAGATAACAATGTCGTGTCGGCAGCTGAATGTGTTGCTTGTGAAGCTATAAGTAAGTAAATTATGTTAAATTAAGAAAAAAAAAATTTTTAATTTTTTGAGGTGTTAGTTAAGTTTTTTTAACGTGTCATATTGTAAAAAAGAAACAGCAGCATATTTTTATTCAATAGAAATACTTACAGCAAGTTTAACATTAAATTGTAGTAGGTCACTATTATTTAATAAATGCAGTAGAGTATTTATTTTTCACATTATATAACTTTATTGTTTAGTTGAGACGTCATTGAGTATCAATAATAAATACTTTTTCAGAGAACATCGTCCGTGTATCAGATGCTAACTACAACATAGTGTTCAACCACCATCTCTTGAGGGGTGCACCAGTCATAGTGGTAGACGCCCATTACGATTGGTCCATGGCACGAAACGACCTCAACCTGACCGGCCTCATCAGCAGCGATGATCGGCTGCGTGACTCGGTCCCGTGCAGAGTGCTCACCAACATCCGGTTAGGGCGCCAACCGATGGACCTAGAGGAAATCGTATCCAGAATTACCAACACAGAAATACCAAGCTGGTTCGTCCACTTCCAAAACTGCGATATAAGAGCAGTGAAATCTTTCAGAATCCTCGCTCCTCGCCCCTATTTCCTGTCCCCTCACATCCCCCCATCCCATTTCAACTGGTTACTCCTATCAAAGAATTATGACACGCATAGATACAAGTATCTAGAGCTGGATGTCGGTCTTATTATAATGTCCCAGCTTAAAGGGAAGACCCAGATTCAATTGAAACCTCGAGCGCCGTGCGAAGAAGACTGCTTCACTTTGCACTTTGAAGTGAACGAAGGAGAAACTTTAGTCCTCGCAAATTCACTCTGGGAATTCGAGTATTTGCCTGGGAAAGGGGACAACGTGGCGATGTTGACAGAGACGGACTGGGTGGAGTCATAATGACGATTTTAAAGCTAAGCCTCGAGTTCGTGTAGATGTGTTGTTGTCATGTTTGGTCCATGTTAGGGGGAAACGGCGGGCTAATTGCCCCAATTAACTATTAACGATTTTTTATTCGTTACGTACATTTTTAACATACCTACCTGCGTAATGTTGCGAGATTTCATATGTTGGACATGATTTTTTAAAGAGCAATGTCTACGTCAATATGTCTGCTTAAACTGAATAATGTGAATCTGGGTTTCGAGTAAAAACAATTTTAATGTCCATTTTTTTACGATGTGTTCATAAATACCGCGTCAAAGTAAGTTACACTGTTGATCAAGTACATCAGAATAAATATATATAAATAACTGAATGTTAACGTACAATAGAAATTGTATATAATAGCGTGTTAATCTAACGTAACTTTTTTCAGTTACGCTTATGAATTATGAAAACAGGTATTTCAATGTTAATATTTCTCTCTAAATATGGGAGCTATGCAAGTAAAACTATCTCTACGAAAATGGCATTGCAGTTTCACGCTGAATACATGCCATCGCGCAAACGAATTGTCCAACTAAAATATAACACGAATTAGGATTATTGAGGGCGTAATTCATTACAAAAGTGAAATAAGAACTTCGATTTTGCTCAAAGTATTTTTTATCTATTAATAATTATTCTGAATGAATACAAAATAGCATTTTATGTGGACAATGGTATAAATTCGGAATGTATTATCCGATTAACGAAATTAACTTACTACCCAAGCTTTACTTAATAATTTATATACTAAAATATAAATAATATGTAGGAAAAATTGCATAAAAGTTAAGATGTGAAAGGAAAAGTAATTACGTTGTGTTTTGTATAAACTGCAAGGATGCAATCGACCAAAAAGCCGCAGCACTAAAACATTCTAGCCAGACTGAAAAAACATTTTGTTGACATATCAAATAAAAATTGCGTGCGATTTGCATTTTCTCCTGTACGACTATTAATGTTAAGGTTTAAAATTAAATACACGCTATTGATAAAATCTGCACAATGATATCATAATGTTATTGTAACGAAAATGAATTTTGATTGTGGATAAGTACCTCAGTATTGAATATTATAATATAATGTGAAGCATTTTTGAAGTTTCAATATAATATTACCTTTGCCTTTAATGCCGGCGTTCACTAACAGGATATTTAAATTAAGGGAAAATGTTAACACTATAACATTATCAATCGCTTCAGATATTAAATTTAATGTTAAAAGTCCAGTCTTTCTGGACGCGGAATAATTACTGGTCCATGGTCATAGAATTGTTTAACGCTTAAGTTCCCTTAATCCTTATTTCAGCACTACCAGCTGAATAAGAAATTATGGGAGTTAAGTGAGAATGTCTCACTTTTTTATTGGTGTATGAACACATGCTTATTGTTAACACAATACCTTCAGAACATCTAGATCTAGCAAGGTCTTAGCCCTTGCCAGTGGATAAACTTTTACTGTGAATATCGTTTAATAATTCTTCGTGTCGATACATTTTGCTTTGCCGCGACGGTGACATAATGTAAAGGCGCATATTCAAAAAGACTTTAGTTAAGGTAAAGAACAGTAGTTCCCAATTAGTTTTTTCTACGTACCACTTCAAGAACTCGCGTACCCCTAATTGCGTGAACGATAAATAAAACATCAATCCTGATTTAATATATTAGTTACAACGAAAAAGACATTATATGGAAGCATTACTATCTAACAAAGGCCGCTAAAATTCTCGTGTCGCGGTGTTTGTGGTTAAACTCCTCCGAAACGGCTTTCCCGATTCTCATGAAATTTTGTGTGCATATTGGGTAGGTCTGAGAATCGGACAGCATCTATTTTTCATCCCCCTAAAGGTTAAGGGTAATCCACCCCTAATTTTTTTTTTTCAATTTTAGATTTTTTTATTTTTTTTTTATGATACATCATACAAAAATACATACATCCCTAAATTTTGAACTTTCTACCACCAAACCCTATTTTTTTATGGCGGTACGAAGTTCGCTGGGTCAGCTAGTATCAGTATAAAATACTAGAAATAGGGTAAGCATTTCAAATAAATATTATATTTTTTAACAAATTTCAATACTAACGCCACATCACACGCACACAGACAAAACAAAATTATTTGACAAATCAAATATCTGTAAATTAAATAGGCTATCCATTCATTGGGTAAGATAATTTTAGACGGAAATCTCAATTAATGCCATGGTCGGCGTGTTGATCGCATTTTTTTCGCCCCGCCCACTTGATCGCAGTGTGCGTGGAATAAGCACTTTAAAAGATCGGCGGTTATACCGTATCATCCTCTTCTTAGGGGATGATCGCTTCAGATGAAGCTTTTAGTAAGTAAGAGTCTGACATAACCTTGCATCATGGATGGAGGGATACCGTATCCCTATCCATGAGGATTTCACATTCGCTTTCCCGCTTGGGAGGACAACAAAAAGAATATTGATTTTGAGTTTCAGACGCAGTTTGACTTTGATTTCGGTATTTTAGTTGAGATACATACATTGATATTAATTGGTATTTCTAATTTCCGATCAAAATTAATTAAATATACAATCGTACACAGAATCTCCTCCTTTTTTAAAGTAGGTTAAAAAAAAACAAATATTTTTTTCAGTCTAGGCTGTTGCAAGCACTAGTGAACGTCAGGAAGCTACGCCATCGGTTCGCAAAACGGCGGAAGATCTAGTACTGAGAAGAACCGGCAAGAAACTCGGCAAGGGCTGTTTTTTTCTCCTTGTATTGTTATATAAAGAGTCGTCAAGTTGAAAAACGACTTCAGAGATACTTCTGAAGTCACCTTCCATTACATCATTTAGAATTATACATAGTTAATATAGAAAATAAAGACTCCTGCTCAAATTATATTAAGTTAACTACAGGCAACTACGAAACCCTACGCTGCGCGTGGCATGACACGCACTTTGCCAGTTTTTTTATGTGAGAGTGTCGTAATTAATATTTCGTTTTTGCGAAAGTATGATTTCAGCAGTATTATGTCATTATGGTTACTCCCCTCCTAACCGCGTCGGCTGTGTTGCTCTTTGTTTTAGGTATATAACTTGGCTATGGTAAAGAAAGTGACAGCATTAAGTTTAATCAAACTTCAAATTAAGTCGACTTCTCTAGGTGCAGCCGTTAGTGTCGACATTGACTTTAATAGTTTTTTTTTCTTTGTTCGTTACGTTTAGGTACAACAGTAAAGGACAATGGGCAAAACGCACCCAGCTCCGCCAACAATGTAATTAGTATGAATCGATAGATCTATGAAAAACTAGCCTTTTTTATTATGACACCGAAAATAAATATCCTGGGAGTCAAAACATATGACACTGTAAAAAATATCCTGGTACTCAATAGATATGACACATGGGCATACTTAAGTAGCTGAATAAATTCATTTTATAGTACCTTCATTTTATATTATTAGTAATCATAATAATATGATATATCGTACTATATAACCAGATATACGACAAAGCCTGCCGACTATCCTGCACTTGCTCTTACTGAGACATTTCAAAACGGTTTACGGATGATGAAGGACTTGCAGTTGCAAATAGTCAACTCGTCTTACTTTGTTGTGATTGTGCGCTCCCTGCTGCTTCATTGATTTTTATCTAACACGCTTTGGATATTGGAACACGATTATCGGTTTTGTCAATTAGTATGGATGAACTGGAATCATATGTTCTCCAAAGCGTGGATAAGTTTGTGTAATCTGTGGTCGCTCGGTTTTACATAGAAAACAATTTACTATAACGAACAGAATGTTTAAAAAAAACCCAACCCATGCGGGGATGTTTTGATTTACTCTAGCGCAGCAGAATAACATAAGAGGGTACCCGTGCACCTTGTGAAGTACTCCCATAATTCCTGAGCACCCTATGTAGAGTCGAACTAACTAACTAAATTAATTCCCTTGTTTCATTAATGTTCGTTCGTTATAGTACTTGTACACATTTAACTTAAAATAACTAAAGACCCCCGGGATGGAATTTATTGCGCTTTGACACAGATGATCTTGACTACAATACCTTTCAAACAAATGTAGTTTAAGCCGTGGCGGACGTGGGTGCAGCGTCCATACATTTTTGCCCAATGTCCTTTATAACAAAAAATACAACTTAGCTTAGAAATATATTTTATTCATAATATTAAAATAAATATTTCACAAGAGGAAGGTTCTATTCAATTTTATCTTTGTGCACTGGCTTGCCGCGGAACCATAGCAGCAAGTTCTTGAGTGACAGCACCACTGGGAACATAATTGGCAGGAACAGTGGGATGTATATAGCGTATCTGAAATAGAAATTAATAATAATAAAATCTTAATTTAATATTAATTTTTATCTCTAAGTTATTTAATAAAAAAAAATGTGTGAACGGACCACACATATAAAGTGCAACTTTTTTTCTTTAATAACCTAACATTAGGCAATGCTTAAGGCATAGGGGAATGGAGCAGCGCACGCATCACTCATATATATATTGTGACGCTCGTGACGCATTTACGTTTCATATTTTCCATTTACACTGTGTGTCTTGCCTTTTTCTCCTTCACGCTTTAACCGCTGAACCGATTGAGATGAAATTTGGTATAAAGATAGTATATCTTTCGGGGAAGGACATAGGTCAGTTTTTATCTCAGAAATCATACTTGAAGGGGTGAAAGGGAGTGGGGGATGACGCGAAACTTTGTGTGGCAAATAAATGTTTTTCAACACCCACTAGTTTTAAGATAAAATCAAATAAAGTTCTGACATACTTCTGATCATCAGGAGAGTACAAGAGCGCCAGTAGACTGGGGTCCATGAACGCAGTCTCCACAGCCAAGTACGCCCGTTTAGAGATACCGTAAGCATTCATAATGCCTCTTTCCGCTATCAACTCTCTTCTTGAATACTATACTACAGTAGTTCCACTATCTATACTAATATTATAACGGCAAAAGTGTTTCTGCCTTTTTCCCGTTCACGGTTAAACCGCTGAACTGATTGAGATGAAATTTAATTTAAAGATAGTTTAACTTCCGGTTAAGGTCATAGGATAGTTTTTATTTTAGAAATCATCCTTAGGGGGTCAATGTTTTTCATCACCCTACGCACTAGTTTTAAGATAAAATCAAATAAAGTTCTGACATACTTCTGATCATCAGGAAAGTACAAGAGTGCCAGTAGACTGGGGTCCATGAACGCAGTCTCCGCAGCCAAGTACGCCCGTTTAGAAGTATCGTAAGCATTCATAATGTCTCCCTCCGCTAGCAAGTGGCTCGCTTCCTGAATGCTTTCGACTGCAGAGTTGATGGAGGCCCCCACTTCGTCGGTTATTACGATGTTGGATATTTCACCTGATTTATTAGAAAGAAATTATTAAATAAATGAAACACGCTAAAACGCGTTTGTAAATGCGTCTTTTTTATTACTTTTTGACGTTTCGCATCCTTTTCAGGCTGCGTCGTCAGAATAGGGATGATGACTATTTTTTTTTCTTTAGGTATATTATCAAAAAGTGTTGGACACGATTTTTTTATTTTTTCACATAATATAAACATTGCAGAGATATATTCATTTGAAAAGTCGCATGACGTCACGTTTGAGTACACTTTTAAGTGAAAAATCACTAAAAAGTGACGTCACGAGTCCCTACTCCCAAACTCTGACGCGCTTTATCTTTGTAATTTTTTGGTTGATTGCCCAAAGAAAAAATACGTGTCCATTCTTTTTTGATCATCTAACTGACGGACTAAATAGAATTTCGTTTACTGTACCCCGTCATCACCCCTATTATGAAATATATGTAGACGCATTTTGTCCCGTTAATCCATTAAGAGTTTAATGAATGGTGTGCGTGAAAACTTAAAAAATAAACAATTAACAAATATATTTTATCAAAAGTGCAATGACCTTTAAATGATTGTATGCAGGATTTTATTTGAATCAGTAGGTTTGGGGGTTAAAGGACTTGCAGTTGCAACTAGTCGACTCATATGCAGTCCTTTGTTTTACATCGTTGTGATTGTGCTCTCTCTGTTACTTGATTGATTTTAACTAACACAATTATCGGTTTTGTGAATTAGTATGGATTTCCTCTGAGGCACGGACAAGTTTGTGTGATTTGTCGTCGCTCAGTTTTACGGAAAATACATTTTATTATAACAAATAGACTGTTTGAAAAAGTACCAACCCAAGCGGGGGTTTTAGGATTTACTTTAGCGCGGAAGAATAAAATAAGGGGGCACCCTTGCACCTTGTGAAGTAATCCTATAATACCTGAGCCCCCTATGTAGGGTCGGACTAACTGACTAAATAAATTCCCTTGTGTCATTAATGTTTCTTCGTTATAGTACCTGTACTTATTTAACTTGAAATACAGAAAGACCCCCGGGATGGAATTTGATGCGCTGTGGCGCAGATGATCATGAATATAAAACCTTTCGAACATGTAGGAAGGCCAAAGGGGAAGATCTTCCTCCGAGCTGGGTGATGGTAGCTCGGGGGCCGCGGCCCAACTGATGTTGGTCGGGCATCGTATATATGAAGAGTTAGCCTGCGAATTTCATTTGCGCGATGTAGGCTTCCATATTAATATTGATCGCAGTGCGGGTTGATCTTGAGGATGGTGAGTAATGATTTCCTACATCCGTTGTATATCTGTGGGGCATATAGATGTCGCCGCCACAAACAAATGTAGTTTTAGCCGTGGCGGGCGTGGATGCAGCGTCCATACATTATTGCCCAATGTCCTTTCCACTATCGCAGTCATCGAGGGCTTAAATAAAGGGAAATATACTTACCTAGTAACTGCGCCAGTGATTGCAGTGTCCTCTGTGCCGAAGTGATTTGTTCCAAAGTGCGCAGACGCACTAAACTGTCCACTTCCCATTTGCGCGCTGCCACAGATCGTAACGGCACCAGAAATGCATCGGGTATATAATCCTGCGATTAAACAAAGCAAATACACAATTAGACGGGTCTAAGTATGTCTTAAAGTGGGGTATTTAAATTATGACGGTATTCTGAAATGGTGGGCGCTAGGTGACAGCTCGATGGTGCAGGTGGTTAGCGCGTTCGGCTGCGATTGTCAAAGTTAAGCAACTTTCGCAGTGGTCGGTCATTGGATGGGTCACCAAAAATTTACAGTCTCGAGCTGCTCCGTGCTTCGGAAGACACGTTAAGCCGTTGGTCCCGGCAGCATCTGCAGTCGTTAGCACCCGCCAATCCGCACTGGGCCCGCGTGGCGGGTCGTGGCCCAATCTCCCTATTCCATCCATAGGGAAGGCTTTTGCGCCAGCAGTGGGGACATTAATAGGCTGATAATGATGATGAAGTAACAGCACCGAAGTGAATGATCCAAACATGCGTCAAATCTTTTATTATTGTTATTAAACTACCAAAAAGGTGTGTAATGTTTTCTGATCACCATAACTTCTGATTGATTTAATTGAGACTCAAGCTTAAGACAAAATTTGTGTATAAACACCATTTATAAACATTTTTTGACAATGTTGCATTATCTACGTATATAATCTGGAAACTGTTTATAAACAAAGCTGTTTATCCGAGCGAATGCACTGACCATTATGCTACCGCGGCCCTAACGGCCGTGTCGGCCATTACCTCCGTGGCAGAGTGCTTTGTACGCCGGGTTTCATGGGGTCTCCGACTCGAGAGGTCCCGGGTTCGAATCCCGGTGGGGGCAGATGTTTGTGTGATGAACAAGCATTTGTACTCCAGTCATGGATGTCTTATATGTATTTCTATATAAATATACTTATATATGTACAGTATATGTATTCTATCCGTTGCCCTAGTATCCCATAACACAAGCCTTATAGTGCTTACTTTGGGGCTAGGCTAATTGGTGTGAGTGTTGGAAATATTTATTTTATTTATAAGGCGCTGCCTTGCAGCCTAAGGTTAGTAAGAATTCGACACGGCCGTCAGGGCCGCGGTAGCATAATGGTCAGTGCATTCGCCCGAATAGCGAAGGGTGCGGGTTCGAGGCCCGTCTGTCCCTCTCGCACATGCTATCCTGAATAACGTGCGAGAGAGACAGTATGTCTTGCGTCGGCATTCTCAATTCTATTCTTTAATGTTATAGTAGTTATAGTACTGAAACACGAGTTATAGCATTTTTTTTAATTTTCAAGCATTTAACTGCTAGATGTTTAAATGTAAAGAAAAAAAAATCCTAGAAAATATCCAGGCAGCAGTCGGAACTACTTGCAGCATAAGAAAGGCTAGAGAAAATTCGACACGGTCATCAGGGCCTCGGTAGCATAATGGTCAGTGCATTCGCCCGGATAGCGAAGGGTACGGGTTCGAGTCCCGTGTGTTGCCTAGTCCGTGTGGATTTTTTCTAGGAAAAAAAGGCACGAGTTATACATACGATATATAGTATGATGATATGATTACAGTACTCACTACTTCAGGGATGCCCAGCAGTGGCCTCAGTTGGGCCAGGAAGGTGCCCATCACCAGCCTGGTGTGAGGGTGGAACGCTGGGTGTTGATGGCCGCAGTCTGGTGCCGAAGGGCTTGCAAACACCACGCCACCCCATTTCGGAGACATGAACGCTTGCATTGTGGCCTGTACTGGTTTATCTAAAACCAAAACCGGGTTAAAATATAATAGAAACAAAACGCGATGACAAGGGCGCAGCTAAATTACCTCAAAGAAAAAAAAATCTTAAGCATTTAACTGCTGGATGTATAAAACTAAAGAAAATTCTACTAGAAAAAAATTCACGCGGACCAGCCAGCAGACGGGACTTGAACCCTACAACACCAAACACCTCGAACATAAATGCTATTTCTTCTTTTAAATGTTTAATACTTGTGAAGGTATTCATTTAACATTGTGGGTTGCCTACAATGCGAAGAGATGGGGCTGCCTGCAGGGCAGGCGTCGCGATTATGCGTCCAGTAAGACATCCATAGAAGACATTGTAGTTCAAGCTTTTGTGGATGGTATAAGAGACCTCGAAGTCAGAGCGGCCGTTCGATTGGGACATCACACGACCATGGAAGCTGCTTTAGCGCACGCCCCGGAGGTAGAAGCAGTACGCAACGACTACAAGACGCACAGAGTGCGAGAAGTTGTTGCAGCAGTTAAGCCGCGAGGTGTGCTATGGATGTGGAGAACGAGGGCACATCAGGATTAACTGTCCGGTCCAGCGGAGTTGATTGAAGTTGATTGAAGCGTGGACTCGGTTGCAGAGCGGGCACGAGCTGGACGTCGTTTAGCCCCCACAGTACGAGTGTCACAGGCATGTGATGAAAATAGTCTCGTAACCGCAGGAGAAATAAACGGTAAGCCTGCACAACTTACAATTGACACTGGGGCATCCAAAACTATTACAAGCGTACAATTATTTGAAAAAGGTGCAACATCTGCGTGTCAGTTGCAAACAGCTACAGGCCAGTCAGTGACTGTCCTGGGAGTGACAGATATCAGATTCTAACTAGGAGACAAGATCTACAGCCAAAGCGTCTTGGTCGCTAACATAACGGACGACTGTATACTCGGGCTGGACTTCTTGCGATCACAGCAGTGTGTGGTGGATATCACTAGAGAAGTATTGAATTTTCCGGATCAAGAAATATTTCTTGAAGGAAACCCTACACCAGTAGTCTACAACGCCAGAACGGTTACCCTACCAGCGAGGTCAGAGACATTGGTAGAAGTCGAGCTTCCGGAAGGAACGTCACCGAATCTACGTGTCGTGGTAGAAGATACCGGGCGTCACCCTAGTTGGACCTCGGCAGCAATGATGCTATATCTAAGAGAGGCAGTGTCACAAACGGTCTCGAAACGGAACCGCGAAAGTGCTAGAGATCGAATTTGCCAGAGCATCGCGGGTCGTGATAGTGATCGAGTAATGCGGCTCATTCGAAAATGAGCCTTATGCAGTGCAGCGTAAGGGAGAAAGTGCAACGATATCTGCAATTGTTTACAAGTTATTACCTGCGTACCTAACCCCATCCCGATACGTAACAATATCTTGAAAATCGCTCTCAATACATAGAAATAGAAAGCACAAACTTTACTACTGGTATAATAAAACTTATAAGATCCGAACGAGCGTTCCTGACGGGTTCTATCCCACAGGGAAGCGTGTTGGGATGCATTCTCTTCCTGTTCTACATAAACGATCTGCCGTCATATATAGGTCATTTCAGCGTCTCATTCGCGGTTGACATATCCATAATACTAACTTGTAAAGATACTGAATCTCTAAAAAAGACCTTAACGCTATATTAGATGATACTACAGGCTGGTTAAATAAAAACAACCTACAGTTAAACCTTAAAAAACTAACCTACTTCAGTTTAAGCCGTATCAAAAAGCACCATTAGATTTAAACTATACATATACGAGTAAATCAACTAAAATAAAAACTGTCCTAAATGCTACTTTATTGGGAATAGAAATTGATACACATACTACCTGGAATCACTATATACAAATATTGTCCAATAAATTATCGACCTTTATCTATGCCCTTCGACAATTAAACACTTGTCAGAAAACTGCAATGGCAGCATATTCTGCTTACGCACACTCCAGACTATCTTACAGGATTATACTATGGGGAAATTGTACTGGTATTCAGAAAATTTTCGTACTTCAGAAGCGCTGTCTGAGGATCATAACAAACATAGATCAAATGGAGTCTTGTAGGCCATTTTTTATTCGATTAAATATTTTGACCCTCACTGTGACATTGAAATAATTAATGTTTTATAGAAATATTATATTGCATGCCGATAAGGCAGAATATGGTTGTACTGTATTAAAATGTATCTGTGTAACAACTTTGCAACGGTTATTCGCAATAAAGATGATTTGAATTTGCATTTGCATTTATATATTTGAGCCTGTAAGTTTATTAAAAAACATTATAGATTATACTCACATGTGAAAAAAGTTACACGCTTATTGCGTCTTTCGATACCAAAATAAACTTAAATTACCTAATACGATATTAAAGATCTATTCTTCTGCTCCGCATGCAATGTTAATAAAAATATACAACCATCTACCAAATAGTTTAAAATGTACAACTGAAAATAAATTATTTGAAAAACAGTTTAAAATAAATCTAATAAATAAAAGTTACTATAATATTTTATTATAGTAACTTTTAACTTTTGTATAATAAATATTAATAATAATGTAACAAATTATGCTTTCTCATAATAATATAATTAATACTAGTATAAAAAAATAGTTAATATAATAGTTGTACACTCTAAAAATATCTAAATGATATCATATATTTAGAATCATTTTATTTTTGTTCTTTTTCTAGTAAATAATAATAATAACTTTAGAATTATAAATCTAGTAGTTAAATGCTTAGAATAAATTTAAACATACTGTTCTTGTTCAACTGATGTAATTGTATTTTTGTATTAAATATTATTAATTACGTTTATGTATAAATTAATTGCAAACACCCTTGCAGGGTGTCACATGTACTATATAATATGTTACTAAATTGTCATCTATTAACCATGTGACTATGCAGTAAAGAATTTGAATTTGAAAGACGGGATGGTCCCGTCCGTTCCGTCTGCTGACTGGTTCGCGTGGATGTTTTTCCAGTAAAATTTTCTTTAGATTAAAGCATCTAGCAGTTAAATTCTTAAAATGTACAAAGAAGTTTGGCCACTCGTTTCTTTGTCCCACAATCCGTAAATGGAATGCTCTGCCTGCTCACATGTTCCCTTCCTCTTCCACCCTGGGATCCTTTAAGAGGCGTGAAGAAGCATCATGCAGGCTGGCAGGGTGTGGCAGGTAGAACTGCTGTATCAGTTTTCTTCGAGTCTGGACTTCACCGTCACTTAACATCAGGTAGTGTGGAGTCATTTGCCGGACCTATCTATAAAAGAAAACAACATATATATATAACTATTGTGAAGTAGTTTGTTTCGTTACCGTCATCGTAGTATATCTGCAGCGGCGACAGATGGCAGGGCACGATATATAGTGCCAGATTAATGGTAGGCAACGCGGCTACGTGGGTAGCTGCGCGTTCTTCTAGACTAGTCAGTAGCAGGTGCAGTCTGTCGCGACGGACGGAGAAGTGGCGCCCTCTGTCTTCGTTGATATCTTTCACCTGAACACAGAGAATGACTTAGCGACTTTCACACTTCTTTATTCAAAATATTGTCACAAACGCTCTTAATCCGCGAACATACTGGAAACAGATTTAACCAGAGAGTCGCGGCTTGGGGACGAATGGTGTGGTTCATTCTAATATGAGCCTTATGCAATGCGGTGTAAGGGTGAATGTGCAATGACATCTGCACTTGTTTACAACTCATGCGCGTTACCTACATATGGGTGAGGCCGCGAATTTTCGCACTAGTGACGCAGTAGTGTCGCAAAATATTGTGCGACGGTGACGTAAAAGTATCGCAAAATAGTTGTGCAAAATTATAAAGCATTTTTTTAAGTAGGTACTTAAAGGTAATCTTTCAATTACAATTTTAACTATCTAATAAAATCATATAAACATAAATCAACTATTATAAATAAAATATTGAGACATAAGAATGACTGAACGATTGGTCCACTTCTGAATTCTCAATATTGACTATGTGTCAATCAGTGCAGCCTAGTGGGTAACTGCAAGTTCTTATAAAATGGTAAATAACAGGTGGGCGTCTTTCGCGACGGACGCAGAAGTGGCGCCCTCTGTCTTCGTTGATATCTTACACCAGAAATTAAGTGATACTGATGTTTGTAGATACTGCGAGCAGGAATGTAAAACATAAAAACGATCTAGGACGACATCATCATCATCATAATTTGTATACTTGAACACAACACAATATTACCTGTATTCGCAATAAAAATTATTTGAATTTGAATTTTGAAATCATCGACGACATCAAACATCATCATCATCAGCCTATTAATGTCCCCACTGCTGGGGCACAGCCCTTCTCTATAGATGGAATAGGGAGATTGGGCCATGACCCACCACGCGGGCTCAGTGCGGATTGGTGGGTGGTAACGACTGCAGATGCAGCCGGGACCAACGGCTTAACGTGCCTTCCAAGGAAGCACGGAGGAGCTCGAGATACTAAATTTTTGGTCACCCATCCAATGACCGACCACTGCGAAAGTTGCTTAACTTCAACGATCGCAGCCGAACGCGCTAACCACTTGCGCCATCGAGCTCCTCTCCATCATAATACCCCCGGACGAAATCAAATCTTTTAAAGCTGGAAACGTCTTCAGCGGCTTTTTTGGAAGCTGTCGAGCTGAAAGAGATATTTTGGTGGCGAGTCACAAATTACCAAAAGATCTTTAAGGTCGCAGTGACTTCAGTTTCATTAGGACTGGTTAGCTACAAAAACATGAAATAGTAATAATCATTCGGCTCCCCTAATACGGGCGAGACAATATATATAATATGCAACATATTTTGATTGTTTTAACACATTATTCACTATTAATTAAAATATGACGCTATACTTAACATACGAAATCTCTCGGCTGCATCTGCAGCTTCCATCATTCCGCACTGGGCCCGCGTGATAGGTCATGACTCAATCTCCCTATTCCATCCATAGAGAAGGCATGTGCCCCAGCAGTGGAGAACATTCATAGGCTCATGATGATGAAATAAAAAGAAACGATATTAATTCGCGTAGTAGTTTTGTTAAGGGCTACCTTGCTGACAGAGATGTAATAGATACCCATAGAAAAGTATCTAAAATACTGTCACAAACGCTCTCGAAACGGAACCACGAAAGTGCTAGAGACCGAATTTGCCAAAGCACCACGGGTCGCGATAGAGGTCGAGTAATACGGCTCATTCTAAAATGAGCCTTATGCAGTGCGGCGTAAGGGAGAAAGTGCAACGACATCTGCACTTGTTTACAAGTTATGCGCGTTACCTGCGTAGGTGTAAGTAGGTACTTCGTACTCGCGGGTGCTAGCTAATTCTCAATTTAACAGGTAATTTCTAGAATGTGTTTCAACAGCGATTTTGGAGCGAATCCAAAGGCGATCAAAGTGCAACAAAAGTGTTCAAGTGAGATAGTTTAGTTACTTGTATAGTGAAATACAGTGTTTAGTGAGTGTTTTGTAATTAACATTGTGTGAACTGAGTGGTGAATAAAGAACTGTGAAGCGTGAACTGGCATATACTTTTGAACCCCATCCCGACACGTAAAAATACCAAGATACTGAAAAATAAATATTTAAAAAAAACAAGAAAGAAATACAAGATGAAAATACGTATTTTGTATCTTGGTATCTTAGATACTTTTATCTTAGTTAAGTCACATCTCTGCTTGCCGGTACCTACCTCTTTGGCTTGGAAATTGAAATCCAGCAGGTAGAGCCACTGCGACTTCAGTGTGAAGTTGTGCAGGTAACTCAGCTCGTCCACAAACGTGCCGATGTAATCTGCAATATATCATTAAAAGTTAACGCAATTATATTTAATGAACTTAGGCCCGTATTACAGAAAGACTAGCAAACCAGTGAACCAAATGTTCACCAAAACCTGATTTCTCGAAAACCGGAAGTGCTACGTTACTCAAATCCGGTTTGTAGTCTTATCAGACTATATAATATAAATATATCTTTATTCAAATAAGGTCATACATTGCATAATAATACTAATAACAATATAAAGTACAAAATAATGGATGCCTAAACTAGGTTACAGTTAAAATTGTACCTGTATTTCAGGCTTTTATGATCTAAATAATACATTGAATGATTAACAAATTAATTAAAACAGAACTTAAAGTAATCATTATATAAATGTTGGTAAATGTAAATTATGGAGTTACGTTCATTTATTTACAAATAAGAAGTAATTCTTCGGTCTGCTCGTATGTCAGGCTGTGCAAATAATTAAATATTCTTAACTTATAACTTAAATATTCTCTTTATCTATCTCTTACGGTTTGGCCGCTGAAACAGCACCACAGACAGACGGACTTGTCTAATAGATAAGAGATTCTCAGAGATTGATCTAGTCTTGAGCATAGTTAGAAAGGGATGTCGCTTTATATATATATAGCACATAGCGACATCCCTTTCTAACTGTACTCAAGTAAAGATCAACACTTAGTTGTGACTGTAATACGGGCCATAGGTATTAAACTACTTGACCGTCACTGAAAGCTTTATATTGAGATAGCACTGCAGTTTCCCGTCGAATTATCATCAGTTTCCGTACTTTTATTCACCTAGTATCCGGTCCAGTGGCGACACCTGGCAGAAGCGCTGCCATCTTTGTTTTCCTAAGTTTTGACAGCGCCATATTAATTCATTGGCGTTCTGTCTCCCGTCGAAGCAACACGTGCTCAATCTGAGCGATCGTTGTGAGATTTTAAAGGTTTTATTATTATTAAGTGATAAAACTGTAAGTAAAACTATTTTATTTAACGGCTTTTGCCGTTCGTGTTATTCCAAATAGGTACTTTACGTATTAAAAGTGAAGGAACCGTAAGTAAAACTTTCATTCTTTTTGATAGTTTTTGCAGCCCTTGTGATAAGGGATATTTAAAACAAATATGTTACATTGTGCAACACCCTTGTTTTAAAAATAATATTAAGGTGAGTAAAACTGGACGGTCATTCAAGGTGCGTTTTTGTTTAAAAAATTAAAGTACCTACATTAAAGTAAATTTTGCATTACTTTACGACTGTCTTGGTCGTTTGTAATTAAAACTATTTTAAGAGTGTTTTCTCTTGGTACTCAATTAATGTTTCCGTATAAGTAAGTGTAAAAGTAAATTGGTAAATGTATTACAAAATACTTAATTAAATTATTATGCAGTTTAGAGTGAAGGACATCAGTCAATATTGACATTTCAGCCGCCAACTGACTGGCATTAATGGCAAAAACAGCAAGATGTGTGAATCTAGTCATAATTGTTCTTCGAGCAGCTGCAGGAATAATTGTTTGAATTTGTCGTCTTCTGGTATAACGAAAGCGGCTTCGCTACCTTAAGAAAAGTAAGGGAGCTTTATATTCCAGCCCTTTTATTAAAAGATTGTTCGAGGGGTAAGTGAACTATGTACAAACTTAATAAGGTATTTGTAATGTCGATGTGCCGTTTTTTGAACATGGCCAGCTATCAATATCAAAAGGCTTATGAATAAAAAGTTCTAACATTTTACTGACCAATACACGTAATAAAAATTCTCATGTGAGTCGTGTGACTAAACTAGGATAAAGGAACGCTCTGTTCGAAAGACATTCAACGTTTATTTTAAATGATATGCTGAAGTAAATTGAAAATTATAATCATAGTCCAGGCTTTATCAACCTGGAATCAAAAACAACGAGGTAAAGAAGTATGATGATAATTTATGATATATCACGTTCCTGACAATAATTTTCTGCCAGCAATTGCATATTTCTAAAATAATAATTAATCATTGCGGGAAGGCACCTGCTCAGTTAATTTTAATAACGAAAGTGATAAGATAACAGAATCGTTTCTTAGGTATTTTACAGCTAGTGAGGGCACAAAGCTAAAAAGTAAAAACTAAAGCACTGCTTAAGAAGTTAGTGATCTCTGTGATGAAGCACCACCATCTAATCACCACATAATGATTCAGAGCTTTTATGGTTGCTTTTCTCGTATAAAGTAAGTATAATTATATTTTGTCATGGATTTAAGTGATTGACATTTCATCAACCTAACGAGCAACTCACGCAGAGGCAAGTGATAACTTAGCTCATAATAAGCTTCATCTCATGAAAAGTCGTGTCAGGACATGCCCTCCCATGGCGTACCTACACATATGAGTACCGATGGCAAATCACCCTCATGGGGTGCATATTATATATAATTTGTTTCCACTATGTGGAATCTTATGAAATGCCTCTAATGCCTTGCCTACATATACGAGTACCGGAAGAAAATCACCCTCGCGGGGTGCATATTATATACAATTTGTTTCCACTACGTGGAACCTTATGAAATGTCTCTAATGCCTTGCCTACATATACGAGTACCGGTAGCAAACCACCCTCGCGGGGTGCATATTACCAAAACTCTAATGACCGCCCCTCGCGGGGGTATATTATGTATCTATATATATATGTAATAATTTGCTTCCACCGCATGGAACTCTTTATGAATAAGGACATGCCTTCCATGGCTGGCCTACACATACAAGTATCGGTAACAAACCATCGTTGATGGAAGAATATCCTCATCAATCTTATAATCGCCCTTGTGGGGTCATATCACACATAATATATTATTTCCATTACGTGAAGCTCTATATATATTCTACTTAGGACATGTTCGCTTATGGAGTTCGTACTATTATGTAAGCATCGGTAACATACGACACTCGAGTGGAGCAAATTATGCATAATTTAACATATTGTCTATTCGTTATTCATAATTTATTTTTGTGACCATGGGGTCTGTAAAAGTGTAAACGCTTCGAAACATTAAAAATAAGTAATTTGAAAATATAATAAATGTCGCTTGACATAATTCATTACTTCCATCGCGTGGAAATCCATACATCAACGCAACGCAACATAGCCGCTCATGGCTTGCGTACACACATAAGTATCGGTTATAAACTACCCTCTTAATAGACTAGAAAGATCGAAGATCGAAGATCGAATGTTGATGTACCCCGTTGTGAAGTGCAATGTACACTGGTTTTTAAGGTGTCGCATACTCCGAGGTCTTGGGTTCACCCCGGTGGGGCAAATCATTGTATGATAAAAACGAGCATCTGGGCCTAAGTCTTGGTTGTTAACACATATTAATTCAAAATCATACTAATCTATGCATCATCATTATGCATTTCTATGCGTTAGCCCATAACACAAGCCTTTCAATGCCTATTGAGAGGCTAGGCTAATTGGTGTGAAGTGTAGTCTCGATCACTACGGTTGTTCTACCGTAATATAGTTATCGAGGACGTGCTGTAATAATTTCAAAAGAAAAAGGAATGTCGAAACAATTAATGTTTGAAATATAGTGCAGGACAATTGATAAATTGGGAGCACCACAAATAATTCTTAAATAAATTTGGTGGTATAGCATGTCATTCAAAAGCTTGTTTATCTAAATCCAATATATATCAAACTCCAATCTCAAGTGCAGTACACTATAAAATGTAAAGAATTCTAGATTTCTGCAATTTAAGGACTATCTGCCAGATAGATAGATGATAACATATTTTCCCTTGAAAATAACAAAAGCAAACCAAATGCAAAAGCAAACTTGCAATATTGGAAATGTCGTGTATGAGGTGTCTGAGATGGTCAACATGATCATTTTGATATATAAGTGGTGCTATGTACTGAAGAAAGATTGCACGATCTACCAAATTCTTGAAAGGTTTTGAAGATCATTGTATGCAATTATCCACTTTATGTTATTTTTAGTAAAAAATACTGAAAACTGTTCTTCATATTAAACTTACGCTTTCTAACCTTGCCACGACTGTCTGGAATAAATATACTTTAAAACCTACGCATACTACATGCACACCTCAAGTAAGCTGTGTAAATTTTATAAATAACTAAATCTTTATTTAGTATTAACTAATACATATAAATGACTTTGATTTAAGAAATGAAAAAACAAAAGGGAAAATTATAATCAATTATAGATTCCAGGATGGCAAATGAATTTCATAAAATCTGGCCTAAACTTCGTAATAGCATAATTTATCACAGCAACCCTGCAACAATATAAAAACTATACCTGAGAATTTCGTTGTAAAAAGAGTAAACTTCAGAAGTTGATCGGTTTCAACATTTTTGTCATTGCGTGGGGTTGTATCAACCACTCCCTACTTCTAACAATAATTATGTATGTCACTACAATCGACCTTGCAATCACTTCCCGCCAATCTAATATGAAAGCTTGGGAAGTATAATTGAAGAACACGGCACTACCACTTACTTCACTTCAATCTCCACTCCAATCATATAGATATGCTAGCACTACGCTTTTCATCATATTCTACAAAGAGCAGCTCTGTCTGTCTATATGAGATGGCTCGGAAACGCTGGCTTGCGTGGTTGCATTGGTCTAGGAACAAGAATGTTTATCGGAATAATCCCGCAGGTTGTGGACTCTGCTCTGAGCTAACACGATTTTTGAGAGACTTAATTTAAACACGTGACTTATCTCAAAATAAGTACTATTATTTTAAATAAGTCAGTAGTTTTTACATGATATACCAATGGATGATAAGTCTAATTACATAAGCTCACCTGTTTTGGCAAACGCATATATTGAAGTCGATTGTTTTTAAAGAATCGGTCCGTAACCCACTGTTCTGGAGAGTCTATAAGTTAACTTATTTCCTTTTTCTTCAATAATGTACACGTTACATCATAATGATCTGTTTCAAATACCTCGTCATACTAGTTGTTGTTCTGAACATCATACAGTAATTATGCTGCGTATTATTTGGTTCAGCATGTGGTACACATGACTTGTTCCTGCTTCAAATTAACCCGAATCATTGTACCGACGAAGATTAGTTTTAGCCTTGTTTTGGTTCAAAACAGGTGAAAGAAGTTAAAGACAATCCGATTGGTGATATGTACCGAATACTGGAAATCGTAAATGGGACCCTGATTTTTGGTACTTAAGTAAAAAGTACAGTCTTGTAAAATGTAAGACTCACTATCGAACAACTTTACTTCTTTACTTCTCGCATTCGTACGCCTTTTTTGTGATAAACAAAGATACAAATGAATTCTACACAAGGAAGCGTCCGGTCATTAACAAAGCAAATATATATATAAATGAGTAAGCGAGTTTAAGTAAAGGAATATAGTAATCAGCATATGTTAAAGCAGCTTCGTAAGCGTGAAGAAATTAAAGGCGGGATTCAAATAATGTTATTTTGATCCATTTTTAAGCTTACTCGTTTCTATAAACAGTTTGATATCTTAGAAATGTTAATATTTAAATTTATCATAAATTGTCACATTGGCGTATATATCTATGTACGTGGCGATCACCAGGCGATAACAAACAGGTCTCAATATAAAGCTTTCAGTGACGGTCAAGTAGTTTAATAGTAGCATTTTACCTGAAATAAAATGCATATTAAAATACTTACCTCACTGAAAGCTTTCACTTTAAATTCTGCCTGGTGAAATAATTGAGCCAATGAATTAATATGGCGCTGTCAAAACTTAGGAAAACAAAGATGGCAGCGCTTCTGCCAGGTGTCGCCACTGGACCGGATACTAGGTGAATAAAAGTACGGAAACTGATGATAATTCGACGGGAAACTGCAGTGCTATCTCAATATAAAGCTTTCAGTGAGGTAAGTATTTTAATATGCATTTTATTTCAGGTAAAATGCTACTATTCTAAACTGTTCACAGCAACAATAGAGTGTCAGTTATAGTCTGTTATTATTTGATAGGGTATTTGACAAGTTTTAGAAAACGATCCCACGGTAAAAACAAGCCAAGTGCGAGTCGGACTCGCGCACGATGGTTTCTCCTATAACTATTAATTTTATACTAGTAAACCAGTGAACCAAATGTTCACCAAAAAAAAAATGTATTTAATTAATTGAGAACTTCGGAGATTTTGTGTGGTTTCGTTTGAAATAGAAATCACGTGATTTCTCGAAAACCGGAAGTGCTACGTTACTCACATCCGGTTTGTAGTCTTATCAGACTATTCTTAACTTATAACTTAAACATTCTCTATATCTATCTCTTACGGTTTGGCCGCTGAAACAGCACCACGGACGGACGGACGGACGGACGGACTTGTCTAATAGATAAGAGATTCGTGGAAAAAGTATGTCTGAAACCTTCTTATTGGGCCCTTTTATTTGATATAACCCAGTATTGTTAGCTATTTATTTCTTATTCAAGTCGCTGTCTCAGCTATGCTACCGTGGTAGTACTTTCGCGATACCACAGCAGCGCTGATTTTCAGCCAGCGCCTAATGACGTCCGAACGCCAAACAAAATGCGATATAATGCTATTATTTAAAAAAATAAATATCATTTCATAAAATAAATAAAGATAATATTAATAATCAAAATACTATAAATCTATGGCAGAACTACACTTATCCGACTTTTTTTCTTGAGGTAACAGCCTAATTTGTGCCTTAGTTAATCTATGGTATACAAAGTACAAAATGCACCACAGATTGGAGGGATGTCATAATGACAGCGTTGTCTGTGAACGGGGGTGCGTTCGGAACATTGGAGTGCTTTCGGTTGCTTGGCTGCGTTCCTAGTTTACGTGCCGGCCTCAAAAATCGGCTCCTTCGTCAAAGCTAGTTTTATTTAAGTTATGTAAATGTATTTTTATTTAGGAATGTTATGTTACGTTTGTATGTGTACGTGCTGTGCATATGTATGCGCAATATGCGTATCTGTGGATGTGCGTGCATGTATGTATATATAGTTAATGTGCAATTGTCTAATGTGTGCTTATGATGTAATATTAGAATTTTTCAAAAATTTAATGTCGAAATGTCCTTTTTTTTTGTTCTTATTTTATTTTTATTATTAAGTATTCTTTTATAATGATTCTGGCGTGATTCTCTAAGGCTAGGCTTGGGTTTGGCAGCGGTGCATTCCTGTCATTCTCTATACAGAATGAAGAGGAGGGACTGGTGTTGAATTTGGTTTTGGGTTCGGAGAGTCACGCCAGAATCGACATCAAATATACCTGTTATTTTGTTTGCTTTATAGCGCCTAACACGTCCTCAAACAGGCCCTGCCAGAATACCAGCGCTGATACAGTGAGAGAATATTTTCTCATTGTATCAGCATAAGCTGAGGCAGGGTCCTGATTGGCCGTCTTAAATCTATATAGTGATTAATTTTTGTATTTAGGTTAAGTTTCATTTTTATATATTTTTTGCCTCTTTTTCTTTTATACAAGATGGCCAATAAAAATTTTCCATTCATTCATATGGCTGATATCAGACAGCAAAATATCTATCGGGCGCTCTAATTATAAAAAAAATGTTTTTGAAGTCGATTAAAATCTCTTTTATTTTGCAAATTTTTGCGGCAATAATTTTTTACATAATTTTACATCAGTGGTATATTGTACTGACCTTCCACCGCTTCTTTAGCGTCAAACTCCACTTCGAGTTTATCCGGCGTAGGATGCACCACGGACAGAACCACATGGTACCCGGCAGCGGGTGGTAACCGCGTGCTTCTGGCCGCGTCCACAGTCTCCGACCGCACGCCGGACAGGACGGACGTCTGGTACACCCAGCGGAGGAGAGATTCTACTACCAACCGCGATGCTGTATGAAACAATACCACCCTTAAAGCCTCTTTACTAACAGTAGTTGTTTTGAAGGACAAGGATAGATAAAGACAAGCTTTGTCTACGAACACATATATGAGAAGGACAAGTACACTCGAGAGCAAAAAATCCTGGTCACTTAAAGAATCCTAAAAATATCGCAAACTAAGAATGCTAGGATAATGAAATAATTTGTGTTTAATAGACAATTAAATACTACTTAAATGAAAGTAATATAATTTATGAGTCACCACATTTTATTTACAAAAAATACATAAAGAAAAAATCTGGCTGATCTCGCATTAAAACAAAAATAGGAAACATGACCTTTTTGAATAACATTACGATTTTCTTCGATTTTAATACCTCGTATTGCCTCCTCGTGCTTCCATTACTGCGCCAGCCATCTTCAGAGTTAACTTATTATAAAGATACGCAGGAACAAAGATAAGCAAAGGAGATGGTAAAAATTTGTATGACGTAGGGCTCAATGTAAATTGTTTGACAAAAAACTAGAATTTATTTAAAAAAATATTATTTTATTCCCGTGTAAAAAAAATATAAAATTATATAATTCTTAAATGACAAGCATATTTAGATAGATAGATAGATAGATAAATTCTTTATTGCACACACACAAAAGAATACAAAAATAAGGAAACAATTACATAATGTGGGCAAAGGCGGCCTTATCGCTTTAAGCGATCTCTTCCAGACAACCTTTGCGGTAAAGGATAACTAAATGAAGAGGAAGTTGTAGTATGCCAGCAAGATAAAATAAAGATATGTACATATTTTCTTAAACATATAAAGATTATATACAAATAAATAACATATACCTACACAAATATATATACTATATATACCTACACAAATAAATATATTATGCAATATTATATATTTATAGATATAGCAGACTAGGATTTGATTAAAAGAAAATCATGTAGTATATTTTTAAAAATGTTAAATGATTTAGCGTGACGGATCTCAGACGGAAGCTTGTTCCAAAGCTGTGCAGCTTTAATCGAAAAGGAGTCCATATAATACTCAGAGCGGGTGAGGGGTATCTCTAACACATTATCGTGTTTTGAGCGCAAAACGCGATCGTGGTCCACACCAAGAAATTGGAAACGTTCCTTGAGGTAAGTGGGAGTGCGAGGGTCATACAACACCTTATAAAGTAATAAGAGGAGATGCTCTTCACGACGCAACCTAATGGGAAGCCACTTGAGCTTTCTCCTAAATTCAGAAACATGGTCGAACTTGCGCAGGCCATAGATAAATCGAATGCAAAGATTTTGAAGTCTTTGCAGCTTATCAAGTAGATTTTCTTTGAGATCTACGTTACAAACATCTGCGTAGTCCAGAATCGGCATTAAGAGAGATTGCGCAAGTTCAACCTTGGTCCTCACCGGTAGCAGATTTTTCCATCGGCGCAACGAGCCCGCAGCAGCGAATATCTTCCTACTGACCTCAGAAACATGAGGTGACCATGAAAGGGTGGAGTCAAAGAAAACTCCAAGATTTTTGACAACATTGCTGTAGGTCAGTGGAATAGAGCTGAGATAAAGAGGAGGCAGAAGTGAAGGATCCAGCTTAATAGATTGTTTTGACCCACCAATGATGATGGCCTGCGTCTTACAGGGATTAATTGAAAGGCCGTGGGCATAAGTCCATTCGTGAATAACCCTAAGATCGTCATTCAAGTTCGCGATTACATTCCTGACTTTATCAACAGGTGCCTGACGGTAGATCTGCAAGTCATCAGCATACAAGTGGTACTGGCAGGTAAGGAGAGAAGTGAGAAAGTTAATGAATAGAGAAAAGAGGAGAGGGGAAAGGACTCCGCCCTGAGGGACTCCAGCAATAACTTCACAGAAATCAGATCGTCTGTCGTCGGTACGTACACACTGCTGCCGGCCAGCTAGATAACTTCGGAACCAGTCCACCACCACATCCGAGACAAAGATCGACTTCAGCATAGCCAAGAGGATGTCATAATCAACGGAGTTGAAAGCATTGCTGAAATCCAGAAGTACAAGCACAGTCACCCGTTGTTTAGACATGCCCTCACGGATATCATCAGAGATCTTGGTCAAGGCCGTAACCGTGCTATGCCCCGGGCGGAACCCGGACTGAAAGGGGCTAAGAATATTCTTGGAGTTGAGGAAGACGCTTACCTGATGATGAACAAGACGTTCGAGTACTTTTGAAAGTAATGGGAGGATGGATATAGGTCTAAAATGACTGGATAAGGTAGGATTTAGCATTTTTTTGTAGATAAAGTATCAAATAGGTAACTAAAGCAGTGATAAATTATTCTGTTAATCTTTCATTACATTATTAAGTATTTAGTGGGTATTTTATTCCAAGAAAAATCAATCATAAATTGGTATTATATATTCACCACGATTTCATGAATATGGCCACAGTGATTGAGTAGACGTTATAAGCTGCCACATATTAAAGTATCCTTATATTTATTTTTAACACGGTTTAAAATCGGAGATAAATAAAAAAATTAAAGAATCTATTCATGTTATAATATAAAACAAGCTTTCATATGATATACTAGCTGACCCAGCGAACTTCGTACCGCCATATAAATAGGGGCAGGTGGTAGAAGAGAAAAATTAGGGTTGTATGTATTTTTTAATACCACATTATGAAAAATAATTATTGTCCAAAAATTTTTAGGGGTGTGTAACGTACTGTTCTATCAATTTCCTGGGATAACATTCCTCCTAACCCATATGAGAACACCACGTTACAATACCTACCCAATAGTTTGAATTTTGGCGTGAAGGCGCATTGTAGGTTTCAGAACACTATGTTACAGGTGGACAACCATTATCACTTAAGGATATGAAAAATAGATAGTAGCCGATTCTCAGACCCACGGAATATGCATATAAAATTTCATAAAAATCGGTCAGGCCGTTTCGGAGGAGTATGGTAACTAACATTGTGACACGACAATTTTATATATAAGATGTTTCGTCACTGCCGGAAACCGACTACCAATTTTGAACCTTTATTATATTCTTCAGTTCAACAGTTAAAGCGTATATTCGTAACTGACGAACACGACTTCCTCCGCGTTCCTTTAAGTTTTTTGAGAGTCCCTCAGGAACCTAATTTTTTTCCGGATAAGAAATATTCTATGCCTCAATCCAAATCTTAACTATTTACATACCAAATTTCATCCAAATCCATTTAATAGTTTTTGTGTGATTGAGTTACAAGCATAAAAAATTTCACATTTACAGTATTAGCAGGATAAATATTACCTTCGGAATCCCTGAAGAACATCACCCTCTCCTCCCCAAGCCACACATGTTGGAACAAGTTCCGTCTCTGCACCAGGTAGAAGCAGTTACGTTCGGTAAGGTTGTAAGCCCTATTGATTTCTTCTACGGCGTCCAATTCGTCTGCTACGTATTCTAATGCATGATGGAGTTCATCTGATAGGACCGCCTTCTGGATCCTGGGCTTTATTATGTCTGTGGACAAAAGGTTGGTCATCATCATCAGCGTGTAAATGTCCCCACTGCTGGGGTATGGCTTCCCTAAGGATGGAATAGCGTGATTAGGTCATGATCTACCCAGGGGCGTCTTAACCATATGCGGAAACCAACGATGCGCCCAATTTTTCAAAATTTTTGAAAAAATATTTATTCTTTTTATAGACTGCCACCGAAACATAGAAGAAATAAATCACATTAATAAGCAAGCATGCGTATGTATGTATATGTGTATGTATTATCATCATCATCATCATCATCAGCCTATTAATGTCCCCACTGCTGGGGCACAGGCCTTCCCTATGGACGGAATAGGGAGATGTGGGCCATGACCCACCACGCGGGCCCAGTGCGGAATGGTGGGAGCTAACGATGGGATGCAGCCGGGACCAACGGCTTAACGTGCCTTCCGAAACACGGAGGAGCTCGAGATAGTGATTTTTGGTCACCTATCCAATGACCGACCACTGCGAAAGTTGCTTAAGTTCAACGATCGCAGCCGAAAGCGCTAACCACTTGCGCCATCGAGCATGTATTATAGTTTGTCCAAATAGACTAGAAAAACGTAAAGAATCATGAAAAATTACTGTATGTACTTAAATTGTAAGTTTTAAATTTGCTTTTCAACATTTATTTAAAGTAATATTTATAACATTGTAGTTGGGAAGGTAAGTAGGTAGGTAGGTACTATCTACCACCAGATTCGTTCAGAAGTTGATCGCCCGGCCCGGCTGGCGCCCCCAAGGGCCCGGCGGCGCCCGGATGCGGCCGCACCCAGCGCTCCTATGGGAAAAACGCCCCTGGATCTACCACGCGAGCCTCCTGCTTCTTGGTGGATTCTAATGACTGCAGATGCAGTCAGGAACGATGGCTATTACGTAAGCAATAGCAACTTGCCGAGGCAGTGTGCAATCATTAACCTAGCGCCCACCTGTAAGCGCGCGGTAAAATTTAATGGACGCTGCGTCTGCGCGCAACGCATATCTTTCACCTTAGGTAGAGGTGCCTCTGCAAAACTTGTAGCCACAACACGACTGAGTTTCGCGTTCAGTTTCTTGTATAGAAACATAAAAACGTGGTCCAGAACAGTAGTGGAATAGGGATGATGACTAATTTTTTTGTCGTTTATCAGGTAAATAATCAAAAAGTATTGGACACGTATTTTATCTTTTTTCACATAATATAAACATTGCAGAGATATATTGATTTGAAAAGTCGCATGACGTCACATTTTACAATTAAACAAGTACCATTTTCACCTAAAAGTGACGTTACGAGCCCCTACTCCCAAACTTTGACACTCTATAACTTTGTCATTTTTTGGTTGATTGCCAAAAGAAAAAATACGTGTCCATTATTTTTTGATCATCTAACTGACAGACTAAATAGAATTTCGTTTACTGTACCCCGTCATCACCCCTATTGTATGCGCGCTGATCTCCTTTTATATAATTTAAGCGGCATTTTGAGTCTATGTACTTTCCATAAGCTATGCTGTAGCAACCGGTGCCAAACAATATGCAATAATATTAGCCTGCGGTGCGATCTTCTACAAGCTACCGAAGACACAAAAACTCCTTAGTCCTATCTATCCTGCAATACATAATGGATTCTCTCACCGGAGTCTTCGAAAGCCTTCTCAATGAGTGCTTCCAGGTCCGCAGCGGTGACGTCATCATACGCAAGGATCTTTAGGTCGACGGCGACCTTGCGCGGTAGCTGATCAAACGAGCTGATCTTGTCGTATGGCAGCGCGACCCTGGAATCATCAGTACCAAAAAATATGATGATATGCTCAAAGAGAGTTTTCTGAAATAATTAGTATGTTGTGTGTGGTGATTTTTTTATAAATAGGTCCGACAGATGACTCCACCTCATGTGATGTTAAGTGACAGTGGAGTCAAGACGTGAAGATAGCTGGTACAGCAGTTCTACCTGCCACACCAGCCATCCCTGATCCTTGACCTTGCCGGCCTGCATAATGAGGATCATTACTAGGTCAGCAAATCAACTCAAAATCAACAGTATAATGATCTACTAAGCTTTTTAATTAATATACCTATTTTTTAAATCATCGAAATCGGTTCATTCGTTGCGATTTTATAAATAATTTTATCGTAGCCAATATTCACCGGCGGCCACAACGTATGACGTCACAGAGCGCGATCGGGGTTTTAAACCGGTCGAACTTTAGTAGCGTCTCTACGCACGCTCGCACCCGAGCGCTAGAGCTCTGTGACGTCACAGTCACCACACGGCCAGCCGAAAATTCGTTTAATAATTTGGTCCTAACTTCGTCAATATTTGTTGTAGAACAATAATCTGCATCCTCAACTAAAGTCGTTACCGATCCTCACTGCTTCTTCACGCCTCTTTTAGGAGGAGGAGGTTATAGGAGGATTATGTATTTGTGAGTGCCAGGCAAGTTCTAATGTTATAGCGAGACATCATAATAAATTATATACATAGTAGAGCGACATAGCGCTTTAGCTACTGTATTTGCTCGTCGTTAAGACTCCAAAGTATGGCTAATTAAGTGTCCAAGTGTCATTTAAATTAATAATATATACGGTTACGCGTTTTTGGCCAAACTACAGTTACTGCGACTCGGAAAGGCCTCTGCCAAGTAGAATGTTTTATGCCATAACCATAATCGTTACGGCCCATGAAAAAATATTCATTGTATGAATTCATATGAAACTACGTCCACTCGGCCATTCCTTCACCGGTCATACTTCATACTCAACTACAACTGCATGCTACATTGGGGTTTTGCATTGTAGCATTTCTTGCTGTTTAATATATATAGAGATAGACTTGGAAAGAAGAATAGTTGCTAACTTTCTTCAGCTGACCGTATGCTCGTCTGGTCTTTGAAGCAAAAAAAGAGATGCCCCATACCAGGTCGCACATTTGAGTCTCTAGCTACACTGCAAAGAATAGAGTATGGAAAGTGATATGAAAAGAGCCCATGCACCCTTTTAAGGTATGAATATTTAAAAGAGGCAGAGCACAGAGGACTTTTTCGCTCGAATGTGAGCGCCCGTCCGGGGAAGCTACCTTACAGAGACCACAGTGAAATAACACTTCCTTTGGTGGTGTTGTGTTTATGCTGATGAGTAGGGTTCTAGGGCTCCAGGGCTTCGTGGGTTAGAAGATTGGGTTCAGGCCGGTAAGGTCAGGATAGCTGGAGCGGTACACCTTCTGCCGCATCATCTATCTTCGCGACAGGACTCTACTTACCCTATGCATCAGATAGGGTAATTTGTTGCATCTTGTATAGAAAAGAAGTGTCACATACCTGTACACTTCCGTCGTCTTCCACCACAGAGGCAGTCCAATGATGATGAGCACACCCACGAACGAGGCGCTGGCCCACATCCGATTGGATTCTGCAAAAATACAAAAAAATACCTTTTAATATACTAATCCGATATAAATAGCTGCCCCCTAAGAGGACCAAGCGCTGGCCTATGTTGCCATACCACCGACTTAGTACGTGCCAACTACTAACACGCTAGTGGAAAATGCAGCTTTCTTTAAAGCTCCAATATCTTGAATGGTGGCTTAATGGGAGCTGGATAAGGCAAGAGTTTGAAAACAGCTAAAATTATTGCTCATTGCTGCAGCAGAATGCTAAGATATATTTTTTTTATTTTTTAAGCATGTAACTGCTCAATGTTTAAATCTAAAGAAAATATAACTAAAAACAATTCCACGCGGACCAGGCAGAAATCGGGTTTCGAACCCGCACCCTTCGCTATCGGGGCAATTATGGCTGTGTCGAATTCTTGCTTAAGAAAGGCTATAAAGAAGTCGACACGGCTATCAGGGCCGCGGTAGCGTAATGGTTAGTGCATTCGCCCGGATAGCGAAGGGTGCGGGTTCGAGCCCCGTCTGCTGCCTGGTCCGCGTGGATTTTTTTCTAGTAATATTTTCTTTTAGAATCATAATAAGATGTTTTGTGACGCCTTATGGCACCATTAACTGCACAGTAGTTATATTTGTGTCTCCTTTGCCACTCATGGCATTTTACACTACCTCTGACGGCATTGCATATTTATTTGTGTTGCATTAAGTTCCCGCATGGGATACACAGCCACGTTTCTCTGGACTAATTTACTTCTTAAAGTTTCGGTTATGAGTGTGAAGAAAAACGATCGCCGCAGCTCGTAAAATTACATTCTATATAACTACTGCCGTGCTACACGATAGGAAATAATAACTTAAACAATAATAATAAATAACAACGTTTTTTTGTTAACCAATACCAACGGGTCATGAAATCAAAGTATTCATCCAAATTCCTATTCGGCTATCTCGCTCTTTGATTATAACATTTCACTCCTTCTTCAATCTTCATTCACGTGTGTGTACGCCACTGATCCCATTGCACTCAATGAAAGCCAATTACCTATCAGAATATATGAGTGTCATATTTCTCAACTACCAACGTACAAAGACTCTGGATACAATACAACTACGATCCGACAGATCTTTATGGTTGGTGCGTTAAGCCACAATAAAAAGAACTCTTGTACCTTTGAAATTTCTAAGTGGTACAGGCTTTCCTGTACTGGTGATGGCGTTTGATACGCAATACCATAGACACCAATCGTGTCGGGTCAGGTGTTAAACAAGCATGCGAGTGATAATTGAAACCAATTTACGCGTCGAGCGACGGCTATGTATGTACGCTGGATCACGAAAGGCACTGGCCAATTTGGCACATCATGGTGGTGTGAACCGATTTGTCAATAGCAATAACGTAGTGTCACATTGTCACACGCTATCAATGAAGAGGTCTTTGGGAAATCGAAGCGAAACTGAAAATAATTTTTGGATTTTGTTATTGAATGTATTTTTAAGTGGAGCTCGATGGCGCAAGTGGTTAGCGCGTTCGGCTACGATCGTAAGCAACTTTCGCAGTGGTCGGTCATTGATTGATTAGATGGGTCAAAAATTTTCTATCTCGAGTACCTCCGTGCTTCGGAAGGCACGTTCAGCCGTTGGTCCCGGCTGCATTTGCAGTCGTTAGCACCCGCCAATCCGCACTGGACCCGCGTGGTGGGTCATGACCCAATCTCCCTATTCCATCCATAGGGAAGGCCTGTGTCCCAGCAGTGGGGACATTAATAGGCTGATGGTGACGATGATGATGTACTTTTTACTGCTAATGGAACCGGACGAAAGCAGTGAAAAGTCTTGTAGTGGAATGACACGATCATATAATCTTTTGTAGAGTGTAACATTAATGGCCTGCGCATACGAGCGACTTTCGCCCGCTATAAAAGATAGCTTACAACTGCATCGAGTAACGCAGACGACGGATAAAATGGACCGGATACGAAAAGTCCCCCGAGCAACCAGGGTGCTAATTGTATGGCATGACTCCAGAAATGAAATTTTAGTAAAAAGGCACCTGTACCATACCTCCTTGGATAACATTATTATTAGCGTTCTATTTGACGACCTCCGTGGCCGAGTGATTTATACGCCGGGTTTCATGGCGTCGCCGACTCGAGAGGTCCCGGGTTCGAATCCCGGTGGGGGCAGATGTTTGTGTGATGAATACGAGCATTTGTACTCCAGTCATGGATGTTTAATATGTATTTCATATAAATATACTTATATATGTACAATATATGTATTCTATCCGTTACCCTAGTATCCCATAACACAAGCCTTTACAGTGCTTACTTTGGGGCTAGGCTAATTGGTGTGAGTGTTGGAAATATTTATTTATTATTATTTATTGTACTTTGAAAAGTTCAGACCACCCAACCGTTTGCATACATGGTGCAATGCAAGTCAGATAAAGATCCAAGATAAAATATCAAACAAATATAAATGATTTGATTGTTAAGTAGGGGGTCAGTAGCATTTGAATTGCGATGTACATTCTGAAAACAGTAATTCATTCAACAATCAATCCTCTATCGACAGTCAATTGAATAATCAGTCAGTGTTATGAATACTAGACCTATCTGTTATGATAATTTCAGCGATATAGATGTAGATATAGATTTTATGTTCAATAACTTATCTCTTCTGAAGGGTAACAAGCATGTCATTCACATTGAAAAGCTGTTATTAAACATAAGTATTGGAACGCACGTCTGTGGAAGTAACCTCCACTCTACATAACAGTATAACGACATAAAACTACCTTTAGGAAGTGTTGTATTTCTGTTAATGAGTAAGATATCCAGACTTCAAGGATGGGGTCAGGATATGCAACGCGTGAGTGAGAATACAGTTGGCCTAATAGGCTAGTTGACTTAGGCCAAATTGCACTATACAAATGTTTATTTCTTATAATTTTTGGTATGGGGAACCTAAATACATCGATTTCACTTCATAAAATTAGAAGATGGCTGTAGTAATTTAGTTTGAAAAATATTTTTTTAATCTATGCTTTTTAAACACTAAAAACGCTGTCCACCATGATTGTGACGTCAACATAATAGCAAACAACTAAACGTCATTGTAGTGTTACTGTGGTTTCTTTCGTCCGACTTAAATATATCTAAAAACTCTTATATCTTGAAGAAAAGTTTCCGTTTATTGGTTTTCTTGACTAAATTAATACTGGACGCCGGATTTGTGAAAGCAGAAACGACAAAACTCTTTGACTTAGCAGGTACATTCATGACCTTAAAAATTTAAACCACAACATTACTGGAGTCTTTAACGATCTGTTTCTTTATTCTCGTATATTACAATCAAATCATGATAATTACTATATTTATCATAAAATCTATTAGAAATCATGGTTTTGTAATGTAAATTCAGATAGGTTATATCCTATGTGCTTGCGAGTGTTTGTTTACTATTTTGTTCCCGTCATACCATAGATAATCTATACACTAAAATGGCCGACAGCGTTTTTATATGTTCATGAAAAATCTATTTTAAAATCTAGTTTTGTAGCTTTCTAGGTAAAAAAATATACAATACATTTTTTTTCGGTCTAATTGAACAATTATTAACCATTTAAAACATATTTCCAAAAAGTGTCAACTAGCCTATGGTCGACCAGAGTGATTGCAGCAAATAAAATCAGGGTGTGGCTATCAATTTCATGTCGATGTTCCAATATACTATTCAAAGCTCCTTTGGTCTAACAGAGTGTAACAAGACAATATTTCGGTTTGATCCCAAGGTTACGATCATAGAACACAGAAACTGTGTTCTGTCTGTGGTTATGTACGATGGTATAGCACGCCTCTAAATATATCATGAGGCGGGCCATAAGTATGTTTGTACGCTCCATTGTTTAGTTCATGGAAACACATTAGTCCAGTGCTGGTCTGGATTTTATCGTTCACATACTCGTAAATCCTTTTGTAACTGCTGAACTTTTAACTGATACATAGTAACAATGGTTACAAATAAGCAGTTAGTATTTTTTTACTGTCAAACATTCAATCCAGTACTGGAATGGCAGTCTACACTATTCGAATAGTGCTGGAAAAGGTAAGCTGGAATGATGCAAAGTAGACCGTGGACGACGGCCTGTTCACATTATTACAGTAGCATTCAAGTCCAGCGTTTGAATTCTTGCAATGGAATTTTCCCATTCCAGTGAGTAATCCAGTTCAGTCTGCTGTACAGACGTACAGCACTGGACTGGATTGATTCGCAGGACTTCTGGACTGGAATAATGTGAACCGGCCATAAGGGAGACAAAATCTACTACTACTTACAAGTTTGGGTAACCGTAAATTTTTGGACCGTGTTTAGATTCTTACTGCAGCCATTGCGAGAGAACGCATTACGATACTAAGTAGGAAGGTAGTGTTCGTAGTTATATCCAAAATTACTTATATTTGTTGATAGATTATATAGATAGATATAGATTACCATTGTTAGTAATAATTTGATGAATGACAAATTATTACTAACAATGGTAATCTAGTACATCTAAAGAATACAGTTAATAAGTATGGATGCCGAATGACTTTACGACAATCTTAGGAAAATAATTCCAAGAAATTACATTACCAAACCTTGGTAATGTAATTATATAAAATAAATTGGCTTGCTTATGGTACGCATCAGACACGATTACACGCAGTCAAATGCAGTTAAAAGGCCCAAGCAGCCAAAGATATAATAAAAAAAATAACAATTGGAACTTCCAATTTTCAAGCATTAAGAACGTGAATCAAACATAAAAATATACTCTAGAATTTCTTTTATTTGCGGATGACAAAATAAGTTCCCTGTTAAATTTTTCGATAAGAGTTGACAATTTAATATCATGTGCAACATTCCAAAAGTAAAAATATGCGTTTGATTTGATTTAGTGAGACGTAACGATGTTACACGTGAGAACTGCGTAGATCTTCATGCTGTTATGCAAACGTGACGGCCAGACATGTTTGAC